TTGTGATGACGTCACATACGCGATTTCGTCGACCGCGTTTTTGTGGAACGCGGTTTTGACGGGTCACGGGGAGAGCTGCGCGCGGCTGTGATGATCTCCTGCAATGCCCTCCTGCCAGCAAAAATGGAGTTTGGGAGGGCCGTGTGCGGCTGCAACACCCTCCTGCAACCCTCTGCCAGCGAAAATGGAGTATAGGAGAGTCGTGTATGGCTGCGATGACCTACAACACACACACACACACACACCGCCAGTGAAAATGGCTCTCGGGAGGGCCGTTTGGGGCTGCGACAGGCTCCTGCAACCCTCTGCCAGCGAAAACGGAGCTCGGGAGGGTTGCGCGCGGCTGCGAGAACCTCCTACAACTCCTTGGCAGCGAAAACGCAGTTCGGGAGAGCCACACACAGTCCTCCCAAGCTCCGTTTTTGCTGGCAGAGGCATCGCGGGCCAGTCCTGGCTGTTTCCAGGGTGCTCCCACAAGCTGGATCCGGCCCGCGGGCCTTGAGTTTGACACCCCTGACTTAGAAAGGCGAAGAGGTGGGCAGACGCGGGTTTCCCAGCCTGGCCCCAAATTAGCTCCTTTCTTTGTCTCCGCAGGTGGCACAACTTCCGAACATTGTGCGACTATAACAAGCGTGTGGCTGTGGGTAAGTGCCGAAATCCGATGTTCCCCGGCCTCCGTATCGATTTATAAATCTTATCAATTGATAAATCTTTTCCATCTTTTCTTGGCAGCGCTGGAGGTGGGCCCCGACCTGCCGTCCAATCACGTCATTGACCGCTGGCTGGGCGAGCCAATCAAAGCAGCCATTCTACCCACCAGCATCTTCTTAACCAATAAGAAAGGCTTCCCGGTGCTTTCCAAAATGCATCAGCGTCTCATCTTTCGCTTGCTTAAAGTAAGTATTTTCTCTCTCTCTCTCCCTCCCTCCTTCCTTCTCTCTCTCTCCCTCCCCCCTTTTCTCTCCCTCCCTCCCTCCCTCCTCTCCCTCCCTCNATATACATATATACATATATACATATATACATATATACATATATACATATAAAGTCACAACCCCTGGTATGCCCAAATATGGGAGGAAGGTCACACTTCCACTCTCTGTCTTCGGCTCGTCACAAGAGACCATCCAGACAGAAACCCAATATTTTTTACTGTTGCCTTTTTGTTACATTTGTTATATTTATGCTGATAAATAAATAAAGGGAGACTAGTATAGATCCCCTTTATTTATTTATCAGCATAAATATAACAAATGTAACAAAAAGGCAACAGTAAAAAATATTGGGTTTCTGTCTGGATGGTCTCTTGTGACGAGCCGAAGACAGAGAGTGGAAGTGTGACCTTCCTCCCATATTTGGGCATACCAGGGGTTGTGACTTTATATATATATATATATATATATACACACACACACATACATACATACACACACACACATACACACACACACACACACACACACACACAAACAGAGCCAGCCAACAGAAGACATGTTCTTATATTTCTTATATTTATACTTATATTTCTTTCTCCAATGGCACAAAACATGTGTGGAAATATTGCCTCAACTGACTTTCTGTCTTTCAGGAATCTTCAGTGAGCTTAATTAAAATTCAACACTGAAATGCGTGTAGCCAGTCATGGATGGACACAAGTTTTATGATTTACAAAGGAAAGAGAAAACGTGCTCTTTATCTACGGTAGGTAGCTTGAGGCTTCAAGAGGAGGTGCGTCCCTCTGGGTCCCTGATCATGGTGATCGAGACCAATCAGGCCCCAAGCAGTTGATATAAAAAGGCAGAAAAATGGCTGTTCTCTGACCACAGACCTTCAGTTTCCCCAAATATATTTATGGGAAGATCATCGGGACATAACACCAACTCACAGATACTTCAATTTGATGATTCTGACACTTCTGCTCAAGTCCAAGTGAAACGTTTGCTTGCAGGGTGGGAGACTCAGAAGTGAAGGAGGCTCGCGCTTTTATTCTGTGAGAATCCAGGGTTAGGTTGTAGGAAAGCTCACTATGGATTTCATCTAGGTGGAAAAAGAAAGAAAGTGCTTCAAAACAAAACTTTGCCCCTGGATTGTTGTTCTTAGAAGAATATCTACTCTCAGTAGAGTGTAAAGGTTTCATTCTGTCAGGGGAAGGATAGTAATTCCCTTCCCTTTACTTGCCCCTGCCCCATATTTCTATACAAAAGTTTTTGATAAATGATGATGTCAACTTTTCCTCTGAATTTAATAATAACTTGGGGGTCCTTGGTGTTCTCTGAGCCTGACTGTTTTCTTGCAAATGTTTCATTACCCAACTAAGTAACATAATCAGTGCTAGAAGGGAGTGAAGTTTGCTCTCTGCTTATATACAAGGGGCTTGCTCTGTCAGTGTTGATGGGAGTGATCTTGGTAGTTCATCAGGCTAATGTTTACTATTTGGCTGTTTGTCTAACTTGGTAGGTCCTTGATTGGGGTGCTGTTTACTGCTTGATTGCTGGTCTAGTGCTAACCTTGATATTAATCTGCTTAACTGGGTGCTGATTGCTGGAGAAGTAGTATTTTGGTCTTTTTGCTTCTTTTTTGAACTTTTGGGTTGTCTATTTTGAATAGCATGTAGATGTTGTTTATCTCTGTGTGATTGTTGATGTCTGATTTGTTTGAATGACGGGCTTCCAGAAATTCTCTAACTTTTTTGGACTTGTCTAGGATGTTCAGTTTCCCAGTTGAAACTATAGTGGTCTCTGCAATTAAGGAGTTTTCATCATGTCTGCAAGAAAACAGAGACCACCAAGGGCTCCAAGCTCAATCCTGAGCTACAATTATTTTCTTCTAATGTAATAATAATAATAACTAGTAACCACTGCCAAATCCGGCGAAACAACTGGCCGCTGTGATACAATTTTAATAATAATAATAATAATAATAATAATAATAATAATAATAATAATAATAAAATTAGGCTACCAAACAGCCAAAAAAGCTGAAAAAATTTCGCATTTACTATATATGGATGATTTGAAACTCTATGGAAAGTCAGAAATAG